ATGTTTCTGGTTGATTCTTTTTGCTATCCTGTTTGGTTCGGTTGAGTGGAGGTCTTCCACGTTTAATTGGTGAACGGTGCATACTTATCAGTTCCTAATATTTCTTCAGAATAATGATTTCTAGTTAGTATTATCCACTTTTGATTAATTTAATTAGTTAATTTAGAGAAATACACTAGTTTCCCAGTTAATGTCAAGTGCAAGAACAAAGTGACCACCAGCGCACACAGCCAAGACACTATAATCACTGAATTATTAAAAAAAAACAAACATAAAATGTTTTATTAAATAAAAGTAATTTATTTTGTTATTAATCCACAACTGTAAAATTATATGGCTTTGGAAAAAAGAAGCCATTATTTATTTATTGTAATCAATTTTAAGTTGTCCATTTAAAATATACAAGCTATGTTCTTTTGTTAACTTTATTAGATTTATACCTAGTTTATTAGTAATATCATCTTTAGAATGTCTGATGTTTTGTACTTGGTGATTAGGACCGTTATAATATGAATCTGGCATTTCAGTGATACTTGCATTAAAATTTCCCAATAGAAGAATATATGGGGACAAATGTTGCCAAAGTTCAATTACTTTAAATATTTCATTAAGTTTTATCAGACTNTATTAATTATGCAGTATTATGAATTTGAGAGAAAAATCTGTAATATTCTTTTAATTACTGCTGTGCTAAAAATAAAAATAATAATAATAATTCATGGCATTGAGTTCAATTTTATTTCTTTTAATCAATGTATTACATTAAGTTTATAATTGTATATGCTATCATATGATAATGACACATACTTAAATTAAAGCATTCTTTTAGTCTAAAATACTTTTATATTAACTTATCAGTTTAATGTTGCATAGAAAATTGTATGGTAGGCTTAATTAACGATTTATATAATTTAGTTTAAATTTTCCAAACTACATAATAATAATTATTAATTGGTTCATAAATTATAGTTTTATTTTGTGTATGTTTTGGAGAAATTTTGGTCCTGAAAATATTCTGCACCCTTGCTCAGGTGAGATTTGCCGACCCGGACAGGTGAGTTTGTTAAACTTGTCAGGATGTACAAGGGGTTTAAGACTGTATGTGGGTAGTGGCATTGGGCACACTGACACAAGCATCTTTACAAATTAAACCCATTTATTTTATATAAGGTGGGCTTACACTTTATAAATCAATAAAATCACTTTATTGGAGTTTGTGGTGAAACCCGTTAATCTCAGAGATAGTTTGTAAGTATTGATGGCCCCGAGACTGTCTTGAGCAAGTCTGGTGGATGAAGGACAATGGCAAAGTGAACATAGGACAAAATCAGGAACTTTGGCAAAAAAAATGGCACACAAAACAAGGAGAGAGGAGTGCATGAGTCATTTTTGACAGTAAAAATGAAAGAAATCCACACTTTGTCCTTGGAATTCAGGATATTTAAAGAATTTCATCTCCAAATTTCTTTATCTGGTTGGTTCCGATTCCTCTCATTGTTTCCCCAATTGGTCTCCTCAATCAGATTGGATTACAAGAAAGGTTGATCTTCAGTATTCAACTCAAAACCATACTTCAACTCTAACTGGGAAATGTTGATGGAAATTCAAAACCTACACTCATATTTTTGATTGTTATGTTCTTTGTTCTGATATTTTGGAATGTGCAATATTTTCTTTTTGTTAAACTTCTTTGTTTCCTGACTCAGTTTAACTTTGATCATTTGTACACAAGCATCAGAGGCACAAAGTTCAAACTCTCTGTCGTGACACTGATTTATTACTTAACTTGTCTGATTCTCACTCAGGGCTCACATTGTGTATGTTTGCATCATCTTGTGCTGTGTTCATTTAATACTATTTTTTTTTTTTTAATTTTAAAATACATTTTTAGTGTAATTAATGACAGGTTTGGACTCAATCTGGAACCTCACACTTGTAAGTTGCAGGGGTGCAGGATATTTTCAGGACCAAAATTTCTTGTCTGCAGATAGCAGACAAGAAATGGCAGCCCTTGGTCAGCCATATTGTCAGCAAACAAAATCAACAAGACAGCCAAAGATTTATTGACTTTCCGTAATTTTTTCTGAACACTAGAAAAAATCCCTGACTTTCCAGATGGGTAGAAACCATGCTTATGCAATATATTTTATTTTTCTGTTTGTAGAAATTTTTTCATTTAGTTCTTTATATTTTAATGTTTTATAATTGAAATAAATCATTTGTCTGAAGATTTTCATAGATATTATTAAAAATATATTTCACCAACAAGAAGTAAATTAAAAAATTTACAATTTCATTAACATATAACTTATATAAATAAGGGATATTAAACATAACAAAAAGTTTTGTAAGTAAACTATAGATCATATAATAAAATAACTTACCTGTAAAAATCTTGTGATTATAGCTTTGTATTCCACTGGCATAGCTGCAACATTTTCGTAGAGCCAAAACAAATGCCGTCCCTTATTAGCCATTTGTACAGCTCTCAGTACACGAAAAAAGTCAAAAAACAGTTTTCCAGTTCCTGAAGGATCTGTTAGAAATTGTATTAAAAACTTTAATATAATATTTATTTTGATTTTAACTTATTACTAATAAAATGTTCATTTACCAATTTAAATAATTATAATACAAATTAAATAATATAAATAATTATAGAGGAACACATTGTTTTATTTAAAGGAAATAATATATATATATACAGTGGTGCCTCATACAATGTACTTAATCCGTTCCAGGTGCACGTCCGTTAAGTGAAACGTCCATTATACAAAATGCATTTTCCCATAGAAATACATGTTAAAACATATAATTCGTTCCTCAGCATAAAATAACCGTACTGTATCATAAAAAATGAAAATGGAGCAGATACCAATTATGCCGGGTAGTCAGATGTTGTGAAGAGGAGGTGGAGGAACACTTTATTCACACATTCATACAGATACAGACTTTTTTACACATTGCAGCAGGTCTCTTTTTATTGTTTTTTAATCTGAGTCAGAGTCAGGAGAGGCTACTGGGGCTTGCAGGGTCAACTTTTCTTGTTCCATCCTTTGTCTTTTGGCAGCTGGCTCCTTGAAAAGCATGTCCAAGGTGGTCTGTTTCTCTCTCTTCTTCAACACCTGTCGGAAATCACAGGCAAGGGTGTCATTGTAGAGATCATTAATCCTGTTGGCCTCAACTGTGTTTGGATAATGAGTGTTGGTAAACTCCTGAACCTCTTCCCATTTGACANCTATATTAATTATGCAGTATTATGAATTTGAGAGAAAAATCTGTAATATTCTTTTAATTACTGCTGTGCTAAAAATAAAAATAATAATAATAATTCATGGCATTGAGTTCAATTTTATTTCTTTTAATCAATGTATTACATTAAGTTTATAATTGTATATGCTATCATATGATAATGACACATACTTAAATTAAAGCATTCTTTTAGTCTAAAATACTTTTATATTAACTTATCAGTTTAATGTTGCATAGAAAATTGTATGGTAGGCTTAATTAACGATTTATATAATTTAGTTTAAATTTTCCAAACTACATAATAATAATTATTAATTGGTTCATAAATTATAGTTTTATTTTGTGTATGTTTTGGAGAAATTTTGGTCCTGAAAATATTCTGCACCCTTGCTCAGGTGAGATTTGCCGACCCGGACAGGTGAGTTTGTTAAACTTGTCAGGATGTACAAGGGGTTTAAGACTGTATGTGGGTAGTGGCATTGGGCACACTGACACAAGCATCTTTACAAATTAAACCCATTTATTTTATATAAGGTGGGCTTACACTTTATAAATCAATAAAATCACTTTATTGGAGTTTGTGGTGAAACCCGTTAATCTCAGAGATAGTTTGTAAGTATTGATGGCCCCGAGACTGTCTTGAGCAAGTCTGGTGGATGAAGGACAATGGCAAAGTGAACATAGGACAAAATCAGGAACTTTGGCAAAAAAAATGGCACACAAAACAAGGAGAGAGGAGTGCATGAGTCATTTTTGACAGTAAAAATGAAAAAAATCCACACTTTGTCCTTGGAATTCAGGATATTTAAAGAATTTCATCTCCAAATTTCTTTATCTGGTTGGTTCCGATTCCTCTCGTTGTTTCCCCAATTGGTCTCCTCAATCAGATTGGATTACAAGAAAGGTTGATCTTCAGTATTCAACTCAAAACCATACTTCAACTCTAACTGGGAAATGTTGATGGAAATTCAAAACCTACACTCATATTTTTGATTGTTATGTTCTTTGTTCTGATATTTTGGAATGTGCAATATTTTCTTTTTGTTAAACTTCTTTGTTTCCTGACTCAGTTTAACTTTGATCATTTGTACACAAGCATCAGAGGCACAAAGTTCAAACTCTCTGTCGTGACACTGATTTATTACTTAACTTGTCTGATTCTCACTCAGGGCTCACATTGTGTATGTTTGCATCATCTTGTGCTGTGTTCATTTAATACTATTTTTTTTTTTTTAATTTTAAAATACATTTTTAGTGTAATTAATGACAGGTTTGGACTCAATCTGGAACCTCACACTTGTAAGTTGCAGGGGTGCAGGATATTTTCAGGACCAAAATTTCTTGTCTGCAGATAGCAGACAAGAAATGGCAGCCCTTGGTCAGCCATATTGTCAGCAAACAAAATCAACAAGACAGCCAAAGATTTATTGACTTTCCGTAATTTTTTCTGAACACTAGAAAAAATCCCTGACTTTCCAGATGGGTAGAAACCATGCTTATGCAATATATTTTATTTTTCTGTTTGTAGAAATTTTTTCATTTAGTTCTTTATATTTTAATGTTTTATAATTGAAATAAATCATTTGTCTGAAGATTTTCATAGATATTATTAAAAATATATTTCACCAACAAGAAGTAAATTAAAAAATTTACAATTTCATTAACATATAACTTATATTAATAAGGGATATTAAACATAACAAAAAGTTTTGTAAGTAAACTATAGATCATATAATAAAATAACTTACCTGTAAAAATCTTGTGATTATAGCTTTGTATTCCACTGGCATAGCTGCAACATTTTCGTAGAGCCAAAACAAATGCCGTCCCTTATTAGCCATTTGTACAGCTCTCAGTACACGAAAAAAGTCAAAAAACAGTTTTCCAGTTCCTGAAGGATCTGTTAGAAATTGTATTAAAAACTTTAATATAATATTTATTTTGATTTTAACTTATTACTAATAAAATGTTCATTTACCAATTTAAATAATTATAATACAAATTAAATAATATAAATAATTATAGAGGAACACATTGTTTTATTTAAAGGAAATAATATATATATATACAGTGGTGCCTCATACAATGTACTTAATCCGTTCCAGGTGCACGTCCGTTAAGTGAAACGTCCATTATACAAAATGCATTTTCCCATAGAAATACATGTTAAAACATATAATTCGTTCCTCAGCATAAAATAACCGTACTGTATCATAAAAAATGAAAATGGAGCAGATACCAATTATGCCGGGTAGTCAGATGTTGTGAAGACGAGGTGGAGGAACACTTTATTCACACATTCATACAGATACAGACTTTTTTACACATTGCAGCAGGTCTCTTTTTATTGTTTTTTAATCTGAGTCAGAGTCAGGAGAGGCTACTGGGGCTTGCAGGGTCAACTTTTCTTGTTCCATCCTTTGTCTTTTGGCAGCTGGCTCCTTGAAAAGCATGTCCAAGGTGGTCTGTTTCTCTCTCTTCTTCAACACCTGTCGGAAATCACAGGCAAGGGTGTCATTGTAGAGATCATTAATCCTGTTGGCCTCAACTGTGTTTGGATAATGAGTGTTGGTAAACTCCTGAACCTCTTCCCATTTGACAAGGAAGTTTTTGTCAACTTTCACTCCTTCTGATGATTTCTTGCTTTGTTTCAATTGAAATCACCTTTCTGTTTTTTAGAAGCCATGATTTGCACAACACTTGAATAAATGTAAATACCCTGCACTGAGGTGAGGTACTGTACGTAATAAGGGAGCAAGCCGAATCTCAACAGGAGCTCTGTACTTCAGATATACTAATAATATATTGTAATGATACTAATATATTATAAAAATAGCAGATTGTCATTGGCAATGGCAAAA